TATCGAGTTTTCCGAGAGAGAGAGAGAGAGAGAGAGAGAGAGAGAGAGAGAGAGAGCAATGAGAATATAAGAGGGCACAGGGAGCGATAATGATATAGGAATGAGGAGAACAAATTTTAGGTCGTTTTTGAACATCGTTTGGTCTGCGTGAGTACGAAGCTCCTGCAGCGAGTGGTGTTCATAAGTCTATCTTAGCTAGCAGTTTGATTGATCTCTGTATTAAATGATGAGTGTCAAAACGACAGCTGTTGAGAGGATACTTGCTTCTACGTTGCTGACTGCTTAGCTGTCAATAAGCATCTTTTTTCATCTTCACCATGTCTCTCCTGACTCGTTGCCACTGATATTGCCCAGTTCAAAATTTATTGCACTGTCCTGTGACACAGCCATTGGTAGTTGATCAGCATTAATTGTGAGATCCGTTGAAGGCGGTTGATAGGCGGTTATTTACAGTAGAAAAATTAATCACTGATGTCAGACAGATTTGTTCATTATTTTTAAAAAAAGATTACGAGACATCGATTCATTTTTACAACCTATGACTCGTTTCAGATCGCTAACAGTATCTTCAGTAGGTGTTCTTAATGGTTCTGAACCGGAACCAATTAGGCAACCGTCAGGGGACTGTTTTCTTTAGGGGCAAATTCTGATTTAGAGTGCCTAGGTAGCGCTTATTATTGAATTTGTGATGTATGCTTATATAAAGTAACAGTGTAAATGTAAGTAAGTGTTAAGGCAGCGAGTTAAGGAATTTCCTTTGCGTAAGCCACTCTCATTTTTTTGTGAATCCAGCACATTGTTGTCGTCTAGAAAGCAGGAAACTGCCAAACGTTATAGGATGTTGCATATCAGGTTGAGTGACATTGGGAAGCAATCTTCATATTACTTTGAAATCCGCGGTGCCTCTCTTGGACTTTGAAATAATGGATGCCGATAACTGACGGATATCATCCTTTAAGGTAGTTATAATGGGAGAATACCGTAAATACCATCCTGAATGGAAGGAAAGGCAGAAGGTCACCGGCCGTATTTATAATGAGACAGCATGCTGAAGTATAAATATTACCTTGTGCACCATGTTTATCTTTCCTCTCTCGGTTTATTCGAAATATCCCTTTGATCCCTTGTCCTCTGAGCAGTTTACCTGACGAAACCCCACTCTTCATCTCTCCTTATGCAGACCTCAGAAGTTATTCTCAGGTGCCTTTCCAGTTTAAACTTGAGAATTTGGTTAGCTCCAAAGGACTATATAGAAAGCAAAGGCATCTTCTCATGAGATTAGTCCCTTATAGTGATAGTCTTGAGGCGTACTTAACTGTTCTGCTATCTGTGAACTACCAATAACTTCTTGCTGGTCTCTGAATTGTAAAAATTATTGCCAATCTTGAAAAATTTTGTGTTTGTAAAGAAATTAACATTCACCATGAAATATGTGAGAATTCTATTCTCACCCGGTTTCCTTTCTCGAAGTTCTAAGAACTTAGTAACGTTTAAAGTTATATTCGAAATCGACTTAGCGAAGATATGGAAATTCAGTACAGTCTCTGAATATTCACAGAAAGTATACGGTATAGCATATATGTAGAAATTTCATTGATTCGAAGTTGAGATGTGTAATACCTTCGCGAACTGATCGATGTGCAGAGATTTCGAAATCTCTTTCGTCGTTGATTCCTGTAGAAAGTTACAGTCAGCTGTGTCTTCCTGTAATATGTTTGAGTAGATGTAATGTGTATGTAAAAGTGTTTAAACGAATATACATTTTGCAAATGAGAATTCATAACCGGTTTGAGCAACGTTACTTGACATCGCCCCTTGTTACTGAAAATCATTTAATCAGGCCATGAATCAACGGTACTTCATCATCTGCTGTGTATGAATGAATCACGCATCATTTCATTGGATAAAGCAGCATCTTCATTTTCACCAGTGATGAATCACGAGCCCGCATTCCATATATAACAACATCAGAAAGTTGCTGCACGTTCTGTGATATGTTAATAAACATAGTTCCATTAAACCGGCCTTTGCCCTGCATAGTATATGCATATTTGTCAATGTATATGAATAATGCTGTGAAACGATTCGGACAGACAGTTACAACGCGCGAAAGGTGACCCCGTCTAGTTCAGTTCACTGCTGGTTGGAGCGACTGAAAAATCGGTCGATTACGGCGAACTTTAAATCGACCTTGCTCCAGTTTTTCAGTTTGTCTCAACAGCTTATGTTAGCTACCGTCACCAGTTGATCAGTGCATGTCAGACTGAGTGCACTTCCATGTGTCTGCAATAAGAATTCCCTGGTACTCCGTTCAGTTTTACAAAGAAGCGTAGAAGGCGATATCAAAAGCCTTTCTGAACAGATCGCAGTTACATTTTTCTGCACCTCACATAAATTTGTATAAGTGTCCCCGGAGCAATTCAGCTACCTTCATTTCTTGAGGAGTTACGCTACAGCCATCTGACTGTCTAACATGTCAACGTTGCTTTCTCATAGCCCTTGTTTTTATAATTTCCAGTTTGCGAATCTCCTTACATCGCCCTTTGTCTGTAGTTCGACTGTTCGAACATTTTGCCTTTTGATTTGATTATGAACATTTCGAACTTTGTGTAGTTCTGCTGCAAGTACAACCCGGCGTTCATATCCGATCGATGTGGCTTTCTATACTGAATCTGTATATGTCCAGTAATTAGTTCATCAGCGATGTAACATACGATGCAAGTTTGTTTGTTAAAACTAAGCGCCCTTATCCGTGTAAATTGTGATAAGGATAAGGGAGGATTTACGAAATATCTCCCTTCAGTATCAGACTAACGTAAATTGTTTCTTTGCAGCAGCTGTTTGGCGGTGACAAGTGACATGCAGCAAAAACGGCATTTATTTAAAAAAAGATTATCTTACGAATCTGATGTGATCTCCTATAATGGTCTTAAAGTGATCTCCAGCGCTGTCTGGACTCGGGTTATTTGTCTTCTATGGAAGCTGAAACCCTGATTAAAGGATCAAGAACATTGTAAACACTGCCTGATGCGTGTGCCTCCACGACCCAAAAGGATAAGTAGCATAGGAGCTGACTGACTAAATTGTCTTAAATGAGCAAATCCTTTGTGTTACTTACTTTGCAGTATGCCGGTATTTGTAGTCGTTTTTCTCCGTATGTATGATTGGCGGTAATTCTTAGAAATAGGAGAGAACAGCAAGGAAATTTCGTATCATCTAGAATGTCCATCTTCCTTATATTTTCTTGATGGAGCAGTGCTTTTTGTTTCCGTGCCATCAATCAGAAGATTTTAAAGGCAAAACCAGCATCAGCTATATATCTAGCATAGTATGGAATTTTTTGTTTCCTGGCCACAGAAAGATACTTATATATCAGCCTTTGAAAGGAAAAATGCGAGAGTAAAGAAGACCGGGGGAGCGCTTTTCTGACGGACCTGCCCCAGTTAAGTATGTAATCCTATGTTGAAGTTTTCTAGCTGTTTTCGGAATTACTGAAGTCAGCGACTATTGGTTATCTCTTTCTGTAGCAATGCTTCCGCTGTCCGGTCGTTTTGTAATTCCTTATGTTCCAGTCATAACTGAGCTGAATAGACTCCTCCATTTATATTTTGCCTTGGCATGCAATTTCGTACTGCAATCTTGGTTTGGCCGCTGCCCTTCGAGCGTCAAGATAACTTGTAGTGGCACATAACTCATTTCCATAAATCAAGGCTGTACAGTAAATAGGGATGGATACACTCCCCTGCGAACCTCTAAGTAACTTGCTTAAAAGGCAGCTCTGGCAGTTTGTGCTGGCCAGACCTCGTTTTGCCTTTAAGCCAAATCTGACTATGAGAAAGCACATAGTTTACAACTCGGTGAGGCAGATTGAGGCTAGTGGAGGTTTTAATTTCGAAGGAAAGCGTGCATGATAAAATTTTTCCTTCGGACTTCTACCCTTCAGGCTTGACTGACACAAAGCTTGAACGATTCTTATTGACGATACAAAGAAATGAGAAAAAAATATTTCGAACGACCAGGACCCGGGAAGTCCAAGTTATGGATGCTTCCTCTGTTAGTATATTACTTTACCATTTTCTGAAAGGCAGATAACAGTGGTTATGTTTTTCTGCCTTAGTCTGTTGCGGCCCTTTGAAAATAAGAACTCTGATGCCAAGATGAATATGTTTACTTGTAAAATTGAATCTGAGGTCTCTCTTCTTTTTTTGAATTTTCTTATTTGAATTGCTTCCAATATATGCTTCAATGAAGTGTTTCGTAAAACCTTTTCGCTGTTGGTTGATTTTTTGTTTTATTGTTTTTATACTGTGGGCTTATTGTCTCATGCTGTTATTATGTATTATGTATAACATCACTGGAGTTTTAATTTTGTTTACTTATTTTTGGTTATAGTTATCGCCAGTTAGCACTGCGATGGCATCCTGATAAAAATCCTCACAACAAAACCGAATCTGAACGAAGGTTCAAGGAGATCGCTGAGGCATACGAAGTTTTGATCGACAGTAAGTTGGCCGAAATTATCGCATAGTGTTAGCGGTTCCTTGATTCACGGTGATTAATGCTTTAAATTGTGTTTATTGATTGTTCGTCAACGCTGAGCGACATTCGCGTGCTGCTCCAAGCGTACACCACAGGTGGCGAAACAATTCACGATCGTGGGCTTTTGCTGGCTTCAGTTTTTTTACCTACTGTATCCAGGTCTCGTTCCAAAGTCTCGTCCTCCTAAAGCAAAAAATTGGCGAATGTTTTCTGTGTAGAAGACAGACAGAAATTGAATGTTTTCTTAGAGGAACCAATCGACCAGTGCTTATCTGCTTTTTGGTGTGTCATGCAGCGGGTGTTAATAAAACTTTAAAATCTGATAAGGATGCATTCAGCTTTTTCGGTTTATCCATCTAATGAGGTTTTGCTTATATTCCAAGAGTCTTCCTGCGCGATCATTTATGCATCCCGTTTTTCTTTAAGTAAATTTACCTCAGTTAACTCTAAAAGGCTGGATGACCACGTAAGATTTAGTTGGCTAGCTAACGGATATATGAGAGTCACCTGATTGAGTTATCCTGTAGGAAAATAAGAGGATATATTATTACTCGAACCTGCTGGAAGGACTGATATTACCATCATAAATCACTTTCGCAGAACTGTGGTGTTTTGTGACGTTTTTGCGCCATTTATCGTGGCTCGCCTACCTACGAACTCTCACCTAGAACTCGCCAACTGTCCTGACTGAAATGTACATGTTTCAAACCTTTTTACAGTTTCTGACTTTTAAATTACTTCAGGAAGGAGACAGTGATGTAGTACTTGAAGAAACGTAGATGCAACGCATATTGTTTCGAAATTTTCAGATTCAGTAGTTGATTGAATGAAGCAACGAAAAAGGAACAGTTGAAAATTTTTGCAACCTCATATTGCACTTTTCGTTCAGAAATTTCTACAGTACTGATTTCTGTTTCAGCGCTATTTGCTGAGATAGCCTTTCTTTTAAAAGTTGTATTTAAAGTTTTGTAGCAGCAAAATTTGTAGAATTTATGGCCTTCAGCTTTTCTCACCAGGTGGTTGTTCTTTATGTCAATAATACGGCGGAAATAAGATGCTGTCAAAACTCGAGACTCGTGTGAAATTAAGTGATGCTTGTGTTAGAGATGAGCTGCATTTCTTAACGTTGCTTTTTTAATTAATCAGCTATAAAACTGGAAATTTGGATGTTCAGGGCTGCGAAAGGTGAGGTTTATTTTCTGAAGTCAGTAACAACGAAACCATTAGCCAGGTAATGAAGCGAGAATTCCAACTGAAAACTTGCCCGTAAGAGGAGCCACAATTGGCAACTGCCAAACACTGAAAAGTACAGGTCTTTAAGCATGTTCCGTGTCATCACCTCCTTGAATCATTTTTCAAGGCACTGGTGAGAAAAGCTGAACAAACCGTTCAGGTCTGGACTAAAGCGTATGAGATCAACAGATTGACTGGAGAAACAGATAAATCGTTTCGTCATCATGGCAATAAACTGTCAGCAACGAAAGTAACTTCCTTTGAAGTTGTTTCGTTGATGTCTTTATAGCCAATCAGCCATGGCAGATGATAACGGGAATGACGTCAGTGGTAATGGTGATTGTGATTGTGATGACTGCAAGCCCGAGAACGATAAAGCAAGAAAGATGGCTGGTGAACGATGAGGTGCAAACGATCCGCTGGGGTTCAATTCCCCGATCTTTCGACCGCTACCTTAATTCTTTGGTTGCAATTGTGTGCTGCTTGACGACATAATGAACTGACTACTAACTTGAACGCACTGCATTCTTGTAACTAGTTGGAGTTACTTCTGTCCAATTTCCGGTTCTCTACGCTGTTGACGATTATTGAGCTGCTCTATTAGACGATGTCAGTCCTGTGGATTCGAGCCGCAGATGAGCTGGTTGTTATCCTTAGAAGGATAATAACTGGATTAGCTCTATATATAGCATCCATGATCACATTCTACGTCCAGAATCAAGTTTTTTTGCGATGCAGGACTAAATGTTGACCAATTCTGCAAAGATTTCTTATGGCATTATGCATTCCACTGTATTCAGTCTACTCTCGAACTTTTGTATACTCTTTTCGTCTGCAAAAAAGATACCTTTAAGGTGCTCAAGAAGTCCATTAATAATGTCACAGGTACTCTTATTAGCATTCTTTGTCTTTGTTTGCCCTTAGTTTCAGATATTCCTCCAAAAATCTGATGCCATGAAAGTTTCATTTCGAAAATATTCAAAGATTTTTGAAAATAAACTCTTGCGACATTCTACTTTTCGGCAGTCACACGAAAATCATGGAAGCCATTCCGGTTCGGTTCCAGTGACCCAGTAGCGTCACTTGCGGTCGCTGATGATTGGTGGACTCAAATTTGTACGTTTCTACCACACTTAGCAAATTTCTAATTTAGGACTTGATTTCATGTGAGTTGATAAAATTGGCTGCCGTGAATCTAATACGCATCCTAGCAGTATATCAACAGTGTAGCAATAATAATTCTGCATGATCTTGAACTGTCAACAGATCATATAATCCTCCAAAGCAGAATACGGAAATTTGACGATGAAATAATACTCCTGCTTGCGCTTGAGAAACGTTACGCTGTTTAAACTTGGTTTTGTACATCTGATTGCTATAGCCGTATTAAAAAAGAATTGCACCGTATTGCACAGGAACAGTTTCTTCGTCCTCCGTCTTCCTTTCAGCCCGCAATGCATTTGTTTGTGGGATTTTTTCGATGACCTGATTCACCACTGATCGACTCAGTTCCAAACAATAGATTCCAAGGTGTGTGATAAAGAATAACGCTCAGTATATTCGCGCTTCGCCAGCGGGTGTTTGACCTTATTCTTGATCTCTTTCCATGTTGTTTACGACCAGTAATTGTTTACACCAGTTATGGGCTGGAATTTTATTCATATGCCAATACGTTGACAGTTGTGATCTTTCTTAAAGTCGCTATATTCCTAATTGTGTTCACCTCTTACTGTTCCATTCACCGACTTTATGTCGTTTTCGAGCTTCAGGTTTAGCTTCCCTGCCTATATTTGCTATCAGAGAAACACCTCGTTTTCAGGCCTTTTTGTTTTTAAGCCTACGAGTCTGCGGTTAAGTATGAAAGGATGTGTCGATTTATTGCCTTTTTTTAATAATCTGTTAATGAACTGTGACTCTGTCCAAGGTTTAAGGTAAGAATTGATAAACAACAAACAAAATCCTTTATTTTCGGACGCGTTTCGCATTTGCACACCAGCGTTTTTATCAGGGTAATAATTTACCAGTGAAACAGCATAAATATAATCCAGCGTAAATATGTAATCCGGATATTATGAGTTTATCAGCAAACGGCTAGTTTTCGATACCCCCGTTAAGAATAACTGAAAATATCTGCCAATTATCTGATTTACGCAACGCAAGTGCACTGCAGGTCTTAAAATACCATGACCCCGTGTTGCTTAAAGCGCTGCCTAGGATGCTAGAAGCAAAGGGGCAGTGCGACTATGCCGGATAACAGTTGACAAAATTTGTTTTTACCGGCGGTATCAAAAACTGGTAATTTGCTAGCAGACAAACTGATAAAACCGGCGTTGCCGGGTTTGTGTACATCATGAAAAGTTATATAAAATATGAATTACTATCGTTTGTTCGATTATAAGCTGGTCGACATCATTCCAGATGTCATTCAAGCTAAACGAGTTCATACATTCGTTTCATGATCGACTTTGTAAAGAATTAACGTATTGTCATGTACTGTGTTTATTCATAGCCCGATGCTTGTTCTGTGATTATCAACGGGTGTCATTCGTCAGACTGGAGGAGTGTTCAAATAGAAAACATGGGGAGACGATACCAGAACCCTCTGTTTTCCTATTTCTCACAGCTGCTACATGTTCTGAAATACTCTTGCAGTCTTTTTATTCAGTATTCGTATAGTTTTTCTCATACAGGTCTTGTCACATTCATTGTACTCGATCTAGTTATTAAACCACGTTCATCTCGTTCGTCCGCTGCGGTTGATGATGCTTCCGGTAGATCTGTGATTCCAGTGAATTGTCCATTTTATAGTAGATTCGACGCAACTTTCATTCATTCACTTTCCGTTCGAGTTTCTCATAGAGTTTTGGGAAAAGGGGCATAACTTCAGTGGCGTTATTTTTATTTTTGGATTTATTGTTTACATTAATAAGCGGTATTTTAATAAACGTCTTGTAATAATTTCCCCACTTTAGTCATTTTTACATCAAAGCTTTTTAGATGTTCAAATTTTGCCTCGTAGACAGAATTTGTCATACAGACCTTAAGAAACCTAAGTCTCATAGCACTTAAAATATTTCTAAAAATTGATTTATGGGCACAAGAATGGGTGTAATTATCTGTTGAAATGTTAAGGTTTTCGATAAACTGATAAGCGGTCTCTCCCTTGACCTTAATTAGAAATCTGATTTTGGTTTATCTTCTTTATCCCGGGTACGGTTGATCCTTTTGGATTTATCAGATGTTGTCATGAAATTTTTTAACAATAGTCAAGACTCAGATAGACAAACTTTATAGGCGAAAATATCCTCCACATATCTTAGAGCAAAAGTTGTAGCGGAGTCAGACATTGTTGTATCGTGGATGTCTCACAATGATGCTTATTTAGATTTGCAAGCATCACGCTGATCGATGATCCTAAATCTTGGGTATCCTAAATCTTTCTTTCCATAAACTGTACCTTGAGAGGAAAATTACTATTCAGTTTCTGTGTAAATTAGTGCTGCTGAAGGAAGTGTATTTGTACAAATTTGATTTTGTCTGCGCATCGTTGCTTTTCAGGAATCGCTACCTCGGTATCCTCATGAGTAGATGAATTAAAAGATGAATTTCGTATCCGTCTACTTTGGTTCGTAGCTCTTGAACCCGTCCTGATTTCTTTTGCGTCTTGTTAAAATGTTTGTTCAGTTTGTATTATATAACTTTAAACTCGAAGGTAATTTGTCGCTTCGTTGCACCTAGTATTGATTGTTTTAGCCGAGAAACGAGCCGTTTACGATCGCTACGGCGAAGAGGCACTTAGGTCTGGCTCTGGCTATGGCAGCGGCGGTTTCGACACATCGGGTCAATTTTCGGACTTCCGTTTCCGATCCCCTTTCGACGTGTTTCGAGATTTTTTCGGTGACGATTCCGACCCGTTCCACGACCTGTTCGAGCGAAACTCGTCGTTCATGCCTTTCGGATTTGGTTTAGCTCATTTCGATAGCGTTTTCTGTGATCCATTTCTTTCAAGTATGACGTCAGCATTTTTCGTCGTGTTTTTTTTTGCGTGTTAACGATTGCCGGTTGTCCTTTGCGCCCTCGTTAACCAGTTAACAGCTATTTTTTCTCGTTTTGCACAATACGTTTTTCTGTAAATAATCACGCACCAATATTTTGCACTTAATTAGTGAGTAATTGAGAAATAGTGCGGCAGCAGTGCTTCTCTGGCCCGCTGCTATACGACTGCTTTGGGAGTGACGCCCACTGGACTGGTACCGTAACACCAGTCACACAAAGTTACACTACCATATAAAATTATCCAGCTTCGGTTAAGGTGGTCAGGCGCCAAATTTTTTGCTTTGGATACGAACCGACATCGCCACGAAGCAAAGATTCAGTCATTCACTCAGTTATGCATTATCAGCACAATAATCGTTGTGCCAACGATATATAATGATGGTAATGTTGAACTGTCTTAAAGTCAGAGCAAGTTGTTTCACCTATTGTCTCTATGACAAGGAGTAAGCGATCTATGAAAATGTTTAATCGAAACCACCACCATCCGCACTGGCCACGCGCTTTATTGTACATTTGGTGAAAATAAGGAAAGAAAGGAACGCTTTAACTGTTGGAATGTCTGACTTGTTCATAACTTTCATGACTAGACATTGATCTCTATTTCCAGGCCTTCGGCGAAGCTTGCTTTATTTTCAACAGGGAGTCGATAGCAGCTATGTTGAAAGCATAGTGTATAGTGTAATGTTTGATTCACACAAAATGGTACTCATTTATCAGCATCCTAAGAAAGAAAGGCGAGTCATCTTACCGGGGCTCGAACCCCAGGCCTGTTGATTTTGAGCCATCTGCAGACTGAGCAGGTCTTGTCTAAGGTTAAATGG